TTCAGGTGAGGTAATAAAAACCCCTCTGCATGTGTCTATGATAAAATGGATAAAATTAAAAATCTTGCGTTTTAGAAAAAATAAAATAAATTAAGTTCAGTTTAGTCTCTGGTAATCAATATAGTATAGACCACTTTTTCTTGTATAACAATATACCTTTCTAGCTGTTTGAGTATTGTTAAGCCTCGATGCTCCTGATCCCATGGTTCCCGAAACGAAGTGAACAAAGTTCCACGGACAACAAAATGAATAAATATATATCTGTTAAAGGCCCAAATACCATTGTTAAATTACACATGCATTGATATTAAATTAATCATTCCTTTTAACTGGTTGAACACTTTACAGGTATTGAAGGTCAAAACTGTTTCTTCCTAGGTGTGTTTCTACGGAATGTAAAGATAAGCTTTTGAAGAGGGACGAAAATCAATGAATTCCTACGGATCATATTTAGAGAAGTTTTTGACAATAAATATTGATCATGTGGGACTACTTACATTGACATATTTATGGACTAGGTGAGGACCCTGAAAAGCAATATTAACTTTTGGTACTCAAATCACACAGACTGGTATTATTACTATGGCGGACAATATTAAAGTTGCAGTGAGAATTCGACCATTCATATCCTTTTTGTTAATATTTATGTAATAGTGGAAACTTGGATTATAAATATGATAGAGGTAAAACTTCATCTCTTTTAAAATAAGAGTGTTTTTGTTTTAGGTCGTAACGACAATATATATATATATATACAATTGTATTATCATTTGATAGTGATTGTTTAACATACAATTCGTGTTTGCAAAAATTTTATTTTCGTTTGATAGTGATTGATGAACATATAATTCGTATTAGTAAGAAACATGTCGAGAATAATTCTTTCTGTTAAAGCATCCTCTTTAAGCAATTTTTTTTTTCTTCAGATTACCGAAGTTCGTTGTTTGATTTTGTCTGTACGAGGGGTGATCAAAAAGTTCGCGAACTAATTGAATTACTTCCTTAGAAGAAATAAAATGAGGTTTCAGTGCTCATTATTTTTTAAAGTAGTCCTCTCCAATTATAATGCACATCTGCCATTGTTCTGCCCATGCGCAAATCACGTGATGCAGGCGGTCACGTGACATGCTCCGTGGCGTTCTGTTCACAGAAGCTAAAAGATTTTTCCGAGTCATATTTCTTACCATGCAAGTTATTGTTTATAACAAGAACAGTCCATCCGTCAGAAATGGTCAAATCTCGGCAATAGGATGGGTGGATAAGGACTTCCCCTCCCAGAATTAGCATCGTGATCATCAAAACCTGAGCCCTCTGTCTCGGGAGTGTTGTTTGTCCGATGTGGATAAAGTATGGACGACCTCTTTTTATCCTATCTCATATGTTTAAAGTCTAAAATAAACGATATTTCAGGGATTTAATAATTATATTATTGTTAAGATATTCAACTATTTTTCTAATTGTAATTTGGCGATCTTTCATAACAAATTGCTGAGTCAACCATTTTTGTCACAAGTCATCTACATATTGACGTCATTTTCACATTGTGACGTCACAAACACGGAGCAAAACATTATATAACATCTGCTATTTATAGAATATGTGTATGACTATATGTGTGCCATTTTTCATTCTGATCTGAATTGTGGTTTTGTAAATATACAGATAGTTCGCAAATTTATTGATCAACCCCCGTATTTCATAAAACCTTGCATTTTTTGTTTTATTGAGTATGGTAAAGAAAAAAGTACGTTATTGGCTATATACGGTCGAAAAATTTTTACGATTTTTCAACAACTTTTTTTTTGTTTAAGCTCTTTATGTTTTGTTTAAAATGAGATCCGCGCGAATGTCAACTTGTTAAAAATGACGTCATATGCAATTTAATAGTGATGTCATGAAACCATGCCAAACACCAGCCGATAAGCCAAGTCCCTTTATTTTTCACCGAAAATAAGAAAACTTTGATTAAATTAAATATTTTCCAATGCATAAACCAATTTAATTTATATATTTTGTATGTAAACTTGTTAGCTAAAAACCTCCGTCAATTATTAAATTCGTGTCGGTTACTAAGTGGGAACAGTATTCAGTATATATATATATATATATATATATATATATATATATATATATATATATATATATATATATATATATATATATATATTATAAATTGTAAATCTGGAAATAGAAATGCTATGTTAGCGTATACGTGTACGATTTTACACAGTATTTACATAGGAAACAAATAATAAGCAGCTCTTTTTTTTCTTCTTCTTCTTTAATTTTGTTTTTTGCTTTTTAAATGTGAACATAAAGTCATACAAGATAAAATCCAAACCTTTTCATAAATTAAAAATATAAAGATGACATTTGTAGCATTTTTATAATTATTTGTCTATATAGTTAATAAAATCCATTAACATTAAGAATGAAGCATTTCCGTGTCGCCGGGGAATTTCATTGGTTGCATAGTTCAGAATGCGCTACATACAGCGTTATCATTCTTCATTGTATCCTGTAACTACCCCTTGCATTGCCTGAATAAAGGTTACCTAATAAACCAAAACTTTATTCGGTCAATGCCCTAATAAAGCCTTATGCGTTCATTCAAAATTGTGAGATTCATGGCCCCTGGGTCAGGGGTTCTGGTGTTAGGGCGGGGTGTTATATATTATATAGTGAAAATGCATTAATTATTTGAAAATCTTTTTCTATGCTCCTGGGTATTATTTAAACAAACTAAAAGCATGATAATGATGCACAAAAATGCCAGATTTAGCATTTTGGCACCTTACGGCCCATAATTACGTAACATATGACGTAAATGTCATAATATATAGTTGTAGATTGTTCAGGTAAACATATTTGCCTCGGTGTTGCATAACAAAATTAAATTTAATCGTTAAAGAGTTATGAATTTAAGCCTTTGGCCTCTCTTGGCCTTTAATGTGATGAGTCAGCCCTTTTTCTTGATACCATAGAAAAGTTCTTGTAATTCCATTTGTTTTAAGAAAGTATTCATAGTTTAGAAGATATGTATAGTTTTGATATGGGTCTATCCATAGTGCAATAGTGCCATTATTATACAAAATACTGTTCATTAAAACCAAAGTACCTTAAGTACTACTGAAAGACTACTTTCTAGTTATTTCTTTCTTTCACTGTAAATATAAAGTGTTTTTTCTACAAACAAAAAAGCGAATTCCTGCAGATTAAGATATAAGAACGGAAGATATTTTTGTTGCCATGACAACAAGAGTTTTGTTATGTCACTCCGGCGTAGTCGGGGAGACATATTGCTATTGTTCGACCAATAACGCGGTCCGCACAATTTCTCAAAGATGGCTCTGTCAATCGTGATGAAACTCCACTGTCAAAATGATCACCAACTGAAGATGTGGAATCTATATTCATTTTTTTTTTCAAAATGCCCACTGTCGCCATTGAAAATGATAAAAAGTGGTATTTCTTAAATTTCATCTTTTCCGGCTGCTTTTAATCAAATCTTTTTGAAACTTTAAATAAGTGCTCCTCGCCTCCTGTCAAAAGAAACTGGAAAAGCTGATGTCACGTTACCACGTCTGTGATAAATTGCTAGTGATTCCGTCCTGCAAGTTTATCGAAAAGGACGTGGACAGACTAACTAAAACTTTACAGAAATGATAATCACCGACTGTAGTTGTGCTAAAATCCTTTATAATTTTCAGATTTGTTATTGTTGCCATGGCAACAGACGAGAAGTCACATTTTTTCAAATTTCAGGGTTTTTTTTCAGTATTTTCTTTGTAAAATCTGTTTTGTAACTTTAATTAGTTGTTAGTCGCATCCTATCAAAGTGATTCCTGTAAAATAATGGAACAGAATGGACAAAAAGAACGAATTATTTTTTTTAACCAAAAAAAAAAAAAAAAAAAAAAAAAAAAAAAAAAACTGCAATTGAGTCATCTATTTCGCGATGTTTCCACATTTGGTTTCGTCCTTGAATGTTTTCGTAAAAGGCCTTGAAAATTCTATTGAAACTTTTCACAGAAATAATCACTATTCGTAGTTTCATTTAAAATTTTTACCAACGTTGCCATCAGAATAGAAAAAAAATAATTTAAGAAATGTTGCTGTCACGTCACCATCATTTTCGTTTCCGTCCGGATAGATGATCCTAAATATAACGCATTCTGTGTTGAAAAAAGACCGTCGGGATACGGAACGCGGAATTCTAGATAAACGAGACAAAATAACGTTAAAATATTTCGTTCCCACAAAAAATCACCCGGAAGCTGAAGCGTCCACACATCTGAAGTTCCACTGTATATCCAGTTTTATCCCTTTTAAATTATCCTCAAACATTTGACTTCGGAGGGAAATTATTCTTCTGCAAACACACCTTATACTGAAATAATTAAAGATACATGTCGTAAATATTCAGGAAGAAGTCAAAGATACCGGCTGATCAATATCGCTAGTAAATAATATCGCTAGTAAATAAGAGGGGACAATTCCGGCACTGTTACACTAAAATTCATCAAAGTTACATGTATCTCTTTTTGTGTATTCTGAAAATAAGAGAAGAATTAAATCATAGTTCAATTAATCAGATTAATATTGAAACCTTTGATGACTCTTAGAAATTAATTTCTACCCTTCTTTCTCATTTCTTTCAAATAGATTTTCTTTCATGGTCCTTTATAATTATATTAAGAGAAGTGTGAAAAGGCTTAGCCTTTCGTCTGATTGTTTTCGGTACACGCAACATACATATATAGCTGGTTGAAATATATTTTTAAAAAAACATGATCATTTAACTGATTACAAAATGTTTCAATTTCTACCAATGAAATGGAAACGTCCTGAGAACTATCTTTGAAATTCATTAATGTTATTGAAAAATGTTCCTTATCCAAAACTAAAAATCTTCAGAGAAAGCAAACTGTCCTTTTGAAATACAAGGATCTGACGTAATTATTGACAAAAAGGAATATGAGAAGAAATGGAAATTCAATCATGTCTATTGGTCATGTGATGGATACAGGAAAAGAGAGGATGGATACCTTGAACCTGATGGGCCGAAAAGCAATTTTGCAGATCAGGTAAGAAATATGAGTAACATTATACTATCTAATAGAGTAGGATTATAAACTGAACAGTCTGTAACTATCATAAAGTTTAAGGTAATCTACTATCTGTTTCAGAATTCATAATTTAAAATGCCACAGAGTTTTCTGTCCAATCAAACTCAAAGGAACAAAGGGTACCATTCCTCTAAAGTATTGACAGATATATGTTTGCGGTTGTCCTTTCAATAATGACGTATAATGGCTTTAAATGTAAATGTATTTCCTTTTCTCCATAGGCCTTTTAATGTGGCAGCCCCATCACAGCTTAATTCCTTAGCGCCACAGTTAAAAAATCAGCGGCATAGTACTGCCACAGAAAAGTTTTAGCGACAGTATGATCGTCCTCGAACTGGAACATAAATGTATAAAAGTTCAACTCTAAATCATGTACCGTTTTTTAAGTTTCTAATGCCATACCGTTAACTTACTCTTTTTCAGTTTCTAATGCCATACCGTTAACTTACTCTTTTTCAGTTTCTAATACCATAACGTTAACTTATCTTTTTCAGTTTCTAATGTCATACCGTTAATTTACTCTTAGTAGAGCCCACTGCTTGGCTTGCACAATCATCCTCTAGTTTCTCGCAGGATTTAACGCATGAATGAAAAAAAGACAAGCAATTTGTTTTCCCACTTCCCCGTGACTGCAAATGAAAATTTTAAAACATATTAATAACTTAGTTTTACTATAGATAACAATGCCTGTAAAATTGCATTTGTCACCCCGTCTGATGTGTTCGGAACCTTTTATTATTTTGTTCTGCAAATTATAAAACTCGAGGAGTTCAGAGTATCTCTGACAGTAGCTCTGGCGATATTTAGCGAGACTACAGCAACATAAGGTAAATTATTCACGGAGATGAAGTGAGTTCCATGAGAAATGAAGACAGGGTAAACAGAAGTTATGTAGCATTTTAGTTTTCACCACTGTGTAATAATTATCTGTAGAAATGTACTTCAGTCTCTCTTGAACTCATTCAATTTTCAATAAGTATTCCTAATGAAATAAATTATTATTTTCTGTAGTTATGTATTAAAATTTCTTTTTGGACAAAAATACTTGCATGGAAGCTGGGACTATATTTTTTGGCGTCAGATTAGCAAATGAGGTACTAACATGACTTAAACTGAAAAATCAGCTGAATGAGTTGAATTGCATTGAGGGTTACTACGGATACTAAAGAAATTTTACACTTGGGAACAAACCAAATCTACAGACGATCGGAAAGGCACAAAGAACATTTTTTCCATGTATTTTGTAGATGAAAAGTAAACTGTCCATTTTTATTCTATTATTCACATGCTCACAATTACAAACAATTCACTTGTCAAATAAACATGGAATTCTAGCTTTCTCAAAGCCAAACTGTAAGGCGAGATCATTGCGTCTCAATTGCTTTGTTGTACTATACAATTGTCAGCTGAGTTCCCTGGCCAAAAGCTTAAGTGAAAATGGGTAATGGGCCAGAAAAGGTGAAAATTATGTGAAAGCTCAATTACACAGCGTAGATTCAACTTTGTTCATAATATGAAACCCGGGGAAGGGCGAGGTCACAGAAGTCAATCAAAGTTTTACATAATATTATTAAGATCTTCTCAAGATTAGCAATAATTAGTCATATGTACATACGGAAGCATCCTCAGGTAGTGTTGATTCATGATTGTTCAAAACATGGCACCCGGGAGTAGGGTGGGGCCACAATGGCCGATGAAATTTTTAAATAGCATTACATAGGAAAATTCTTTAAAAATCATCTTCTTAAGAATACCAACGCAATGATCGGCCATATTTGTAGAAGCATACTCAGGTAGTGTAGATTCAATTTTGTTTTAATTTCAACCTCAGGGGGGTAGGGAGGGGCCACAATGGCCGATCAATTTTTTTTTTTTTTTTTTTTTTTTTTTTACATAGGATAACATAGGGAAAAAACTTTAAAAACTTTAAAATCTGTTTCTCATGATCAAGAACAGCAAAGCCATGATAAGTAATGCTTATATGAAAGAGTCTTCAGGTAGTGTAGATTCATTTTGTTCAAATCATGACTCCTTCCCTGTCCCTCTTTGGGGGGTGTTAGGGGGACGATTTAAACGTCTCAATACTGAACTGATTTCTGCTTTTCTCTAACCAAAGTGCTCAGGTGAGGGAAGTGAGTTTTGTCCCTAACTGAAGTTTCTTCCGAAGGGTCTGGTCTTAAAAACTTAATATGTAGAATTGTATATTATGTTAATGGAAAGATACCCGTACTAATCAACTACATTTAAAATGAGATCTTATCGTGAACTTTAATGATGGTGTAGGAACAACCAAAAATCTGAGATCTGCAGAGAATTTTATAGGTTGCCGTAATTTCTTCAGTGTTCAACTAGGGGAGAGAAATAATACCATAGGCTGCGAATAAACCCTGAAGATTTCGCTATCCCCCTAAATCTTATTTCTTATTTCTCCGAAGGAGAGGGGGGTATACTGTTCTTCACATTGTGTGTGTGTGTGTGTGCGTGTGTGTGCGTGCGTGTGTGTGTCTGTGTGTTTGTCTGTCCGTAACAAATGTGCCTCGCAGTTTTCTCAGCAACCACTCATCGCAAATGCTTTAAATTTTAGCACATTCTTAGTTTTGGCATGCCATATGGTGAGATTCATTTTTGTACAAATCTGATATCAAATTCCAGTTTATCCGCGCATCTGTCCGCATTAAATTTCCGTCGAATTTTTTTTAGTAACTACTCATTGTAGATGCTTGAAATTTTCGCACACTATTTGTTTTAACATGTCTTTTGGTGCAATTTATTTTTTGTACAAATCCGATGTCACTTTCCTGTTTAGCCGTGCGTCTGTCCGTACCAAATTTCTGTCGCAGTTTTCTCAGCAACTACTCATCGCAGATGCTTGAAATTTTAGCACACTGTCTTGCATGCCATGTGGTGGGATTAAGTTTTGTGCAAATCCGATGTCAACTTCCACTTCATCCATGCGTCTGTCCGTACCAAATTAACGTCGCAGTTTTCTCAGCAACTGCTCATCACAGATGCTTGAAATTTTAGCAGACTCCTTGTTTTAGAAGGTCATATGCAGGGATTTATTTTGTACGAATCCAATGTCAACTTCTTGTTTATCCGTGAATCTGTCCGTTCCAATTTTTTTTACGTGAGAGCGTATATTCTCCAAAGAGCAGGGGTATTACTAGTGAGCACTGGCTCACAAACTTCTTGTTTTAATTGTCCAAAACCTGTCTTTAGTTAATATAAAAGTAAAGGGAATCGAGCTAGATATAAATGGAATTGATCCAGAGGGAATTGCGAGACTTTTCTTTCAATTTAAAAGGGCGTCTAAGGTAGAAACATTTGAAACTTTTTATATCTTATTTTGATACAAAACAACTTACAATAAATGTATTTATATGTCAAAAAAATAATCTCCCCTATGTTCTATAGTAACTTTTTAGTAAAATTTATTTAAACCTGTATAAAATAGGTTCGTCTGATGATGACCACAGATGCTTTGTAAAGTCAAAAACTATCGACGGTAATTTCAAAGTGATAACATACGTGGTCGACATGGCCGTAGGAATAATAACATCTGATGGACTTCTTATCTTTTTCTTTTTTCTTGCTTGTCAAGGAATTTTTTTTTATTTTTGATAGTGCCTCATCCCAAACAGAAAATGTTCGGTTGTGCCCCCACCCCATCCACAACTAATATTGCTTCCTACGGTCCTGGTTGACTTGTTCAACACATTCAATTTAAACCATTGACATCCAAAAAAATCATTTCATGGGATTGAATCTATTAAATGCTAAAATGTGTTATAAATCAGTCATCAATGTTAATATAAGCTATAAGGTTTCATGTGGATTGGCACGTAATCAAATCTACCATAAAGCCTATGGTATCTGATATCGTGACAATATAAAAACACTGAAAATATTAATGCTAACAAGGTCATATTATAGACCAAAGAATTTAAAATGCTAAAACACCGTTAACGTTATTTATTTATTTAGTCTGCCCGAGATGAAAAAAAATGATCTTACTAAGAACATGCTCTTCCTTTCTAATTCAGTTCGTAGAACTTAACCCTATATGCATAAGATCAAAGAATATTGCTAAATATATTGGGAAGTTCACGGTAGAAAGTTGAAGTCTTTTCGTTTGTTATCGAAATCACAATCTTGTTTACGGAAGAGCAATAATATCTAATGGAAAATTATTCCCCTTCAACTAACTTACATAAAGCACATTTTCGGGGAAAACACATTGCCATATCGCATTTTGTTTTCTCAGCACGGCCAATTCAAGTTTAGGGTATAGACAAACCCTGCTTTTGCAAAATCCTCCAGATACATGTAACTAAAACGAAGAATAGAAGGATAATGAAAGATTTTCAAAAAACGTAATCAAGTCATATAAGCTCTGATAATGATGCAACACACCCTGGTTGTAGATCTCTGTATGTTAATTTTCATATATGTAGATTTTTAATTTCAAATATTCGGGTTAATCTCTTTATTCTTTAATATGAAAAAAAATATCTAATCGTATTTATTTAAAAGTTGTGTTTTCAAGTCTAAATTTAAAAAATGACCTTCTTGCTCTAAGAATCATTGAAAGAATGTCATTTCTAAATATAAAAAATGAAGAAGAAATTACAACTCTGTTAAAATAATTATTTATAAATAAAATTGTCTATTTTTCTAGAAAAAAAAAGAAAATCAGTCTTGCCAAAGTCTTTAGCTTAAAAAAAAACAATGGAGTACCTTTACATTAACCTGCTCAGCTCTGAAACACGTATTACTCCTTTTTTTACCCATTATTTAAAAGGAGTCTTTTTCAATCCTTTTGGAGGAAGATAACACTTAAATCATAAAAAACTAATAAGGAACATAAACCAAACACTGTTATAGCAATATGACGTCAAACGAAGATGGCTTCATCTTAAGGTAAAATATACCGACCAGAAATAAATACGTACATGTAGTATAATCATGCAGAAGTAATTGCAAATTAAATTAAACTTTTCAGACTACAAACAAATTTGAAAATAACAGGCATATTTATCAAACAGAATTTATTACCTTTCAGGAGCGGATTTTTAAAGATATTGGAGAAGATTTGCTAAATCATTTATGGGAAGGGTACAACTGTACACTTTTTGCTTACGGACAAACAGGAAGTGGAAAATCATATTCTCTAATGGAGCGCGGGGTCAACAAAGGTACATATTACATTTTAATGAGTTTTATGAACTAATGTCCAGTAAAATATACATGTAATTTTTAGTTTATACTATATTTTTTTTTAATTAGTTATTTTTCATGATGAATTAGAAGATTTGGAACTTTGATAATAAATGTTACATTGTTTGTTTAAACATTTTTTTTTATCTTACCAAATGCTTAATTATGTCTTGCTATCATCAGTGATGGACCTATGGTCATACGTGGTTATCATGGTAATATAAGGCATGTTGTTTGAGCTATATAATTTATGTGTTTTATTATGTTACCTCATTCTATGTAAACTTGAGTCTTGACAAATCTGCTTTGAGATATTTGCATATATTTACAAAAAAGTCCTTGAGACTAACCCTTACCCTAACGCTAAGTGTAACCCTAAACCTAACTCTTGTATTCATGATATTAATTCCAAATAAAATGTATGTATTATCGTCATAATGCACATTTTTCCTCTTTGTGGTCTCATCATGGCCTTAAGGTTCCTGATTAAAAAATCTTTGTGTAACACTTTCCACACAGGAAACGTAAACGTAAATAAGATTCAAGTTAATTTGTTAAATGCAGATGAAAACACATTTAAACGAACTTTATCAAATCCATGGGGTTTACGAATGCTAAAAAAATCGAAAGACTTGAAAATCCATTGATTGCAAAGAAAGGTTTTTACGGAAGCCCAATAGCGCAAACCAAAAAAAAAAAATAAATAAAAAACGAAATTATTAAATAAAGAAAACGAAATTGTTAAATAAAGAAAACGAAATTATTAAATAAAAACAAACGAAATTATTAAATAAAGAAAACGAAATTATTAAATAAAAAAAACGAAATTATTAAATTAAAAACAAACGAAATTATTAAATAAAGAAAACGAAATTGTTAAATGAAGAAAACGAAATTATTAAATAAAAAACTGAAACTAAAATACGGAATTTATAGATGTGCATGGTAAGGGCCTGAACCCATGAATCATTCCATAAAGTGCACGTGTTATAAAGCATCACTTAGTAATTCTATAGACCTGATTTTGTTTCGACATGAAAACAAGTGTGGGGGAAATGAAAAAAAAAAAAAAACATAGATAGATGTCAAATTGACAAACGTAGAAAAATTTCATGTGCCCACAGCCTATCATTCGCATTTTTAAAGTAAATGATTCATAACTGTTCAATTTTGTTTACGGGAATTTGATGATGTGTCGCATCCCCACAGCGTCAAAGTTTGAGCCTGTAAGCCTGGACGTAGCGAGCGGGGATGGCTGTTTCTGATTATTAATGACATTCCAAAAGAACTCATGAATCGCCGAAAGGTTAAGACCTTGCGCATCGTATTGCTGAATTCCCCCCGAACTAAATAGCGCCCTATCTGTGTCCCATAAATCTTAGGTTGTTGAAACAATAAAGAGGATGATGTGAATATTTTGTGGGATTTGTTATGCAAGTGTGTGCATTGTTTGTTCACAACTATCACTGACTTATAAATACAGATTGAGAATTTTTCATTTAGAATATGTGAGAACAAATAGTTAGTGCATCACTTCTATTAATTATGCTTTGATAAAATGACCAAGAAATTAGAAGTGTTTTGCTTAATCTTAATAAAGTATAAGCAATCATTAAAATCTACTCACTGTAACCACTTTGACTTGTTTAATTTTTGCACTTGCTCTCTTTAAACAGTTTTTATAATGTCAAACAAACTCGCAAAATCCGATCGGTAACGTATCATTTTACAGCATTTTTGTACTGTGCGATAATTGAAAATGATGTATAGCTATGGGAATTTCCTAAATGTTATAAAGTTCAGCAGTTGTGAACAACGGAATCTTAACAGACATGTATATCTTAAATATTTGTGCAATTTATTAGCAGAATTTCTTTGATGTTTCATGTTCAGATTCAGTGTATGCTGATAATTAGACCTTCTGAGCTGTGGGTTTAAGAAAGCTAATGTTAACGTAAACTTGTCATCGAATTACTGGCCAATTCATCAGACTGGTCAAAGTTCACGTTAATCATGTTAATGTAAGAACATAGATTTAAGCATATTGGATAACCAAAGGTAAAATTCTCCTCTATTCATGTGTTGTGATTGTCTACTCCAACTGGTTAATATGTTATCGATACGGGAATAGCTGAGTGTAAATGCAAGTATCACACTTGTTTTACTGTCGAAACAAAATATAATCAAGTCATAGAATGGAATGATTCATGGGTTCAGGCCTTTACCATGAACATCTATAAATTCCGTATTTTAGTTTCAGTTTTTTTTATTTAATAATTTCGTTTTCTTTATTTAATAATTTCGTTTTCTCTATTTTATAATTTCGTTTTCTTTATTTAATTATTTCGTTTTTCTTTATTTAATAATTTCGTTTTCTTTATTAATTTTTGGTTTGCACTATTGGGCTTCCGTAGGTTTTATCAATGTTATTATTTTTAACACTAGATAAAATACCGACAGAAAAAAATTTGTAGTTTCCACTGACAGCCTACAGGCTTATAGCAGAGGAAGAAATACTTTGTTCAAAATCTCGCATGAAGTAGATGTACGTCACCACCCCCACCCCACCCCCATTGTAAAAACTTGAAAATTAACAATTTTTTCATTAATTGACGTTTATTGTGAAACCTATTATACTATGTTATAGATATTGTATTTCAGATGCTCTTATTTCATTTCCGTCAAGGATAAAAGCAGTGAATATGCATATTTTACTGATAAATTGATTTGGGGAAGGGGGGGTGTTAAAAATTCATAGGTACTTGGGTCTTGCATGGTTTATAAATATGTTTGGACCTTACTGATATGTAAATAATGTACTTAACTTTTTTTTACATATCAATAAGGTACATACATATTTATAAACCAAGACCCAAGTACCTTTGGAAAATTAACTTCTAACGCCCTATGAATAGGCCGAGTATTTGATATAAAAGACTGTTTTCAGAAATAAAAATGAAATGTATTGATTAAAGCACAAAATTTTACTGTAATTGTTTTTTAACAACACCTTATTCATTAATTTTCTCTTTACATGTAAGCAGGTTTATTACGAAGTACAAATTGTACTTCGGGTTCGTTGCCACGATGCTCTCAGTAAGGAATATATACAAATTTTACCGATAAATTTATTAGGAAAAACCTACTATATACATGTATATATTTGTAATAGTCTTTCGATATGTAAATATATTCACAACTTATAGATTTATCAATGATTTACCATTATTTCAATGACCAATCACACAAAAGCATTTTTTAATGTTGTGCAGCTATAATCGCCTCGTTTTTTAAACATCGGACTCGATGCTATATGATGTTCTAGAAGCTTCCGTCAATATTAATATCGGTGAATGACGAAAATAATTTGCACATTTCCCTTTTAAATCGATTATCACAACTTATTTCTTTTATTTCATTTAAATCAAGTTTTGATTGAATAATTCAGTCATGACGTTTTATGAAATAAATAAACGATTGCTTGTTGTCAGTTTCATTAAAAATTGTCAGTAACTTAGATCCGCCAACCGGAAATGCCACCGTACTCGCGTTTTTGCTATTTCATGGCTGTTTATAGAAAATAAATTAGACTTTTAATTTAATGTACGATACTTACTATGCGAGTGAAATCTAAATATAGTTGAAGGACAACATCTTGTATCTAGTGTATTGTTAGAGGAGCAAGTAAGAACTCTGGTGCACCCGTTTCGGAGTTTATTTGCAAAATTTATTAATTTATAAGTATAGATTTACGGTATGTCACTCGTAAGCTTTTAAGGAAGTTGGAACGGAGCCCCCTCCTTCTAAACTATTTATTGCAATTCAATTTTATAACATATTCTAATTCTAAAAGATGCAAATTATAAAATATTCATTCCAAAAAATGCTCACAAAATCACAAAGAAATAAGATGTGTGGGGAACTTTTTCTAGTGGTGGAAGGATATTTAGAAGATTTTTTTTTTTTAATCTACAAATTTGTTAAATTTGATATCTTGGAACTTTAGCAATACATATCTATTCTTGGATATTTTTTTTTCGTTATAATTTGTTAGAAATATTATATATACATGTAGCTAGGTTTCAATTAATATTTTTAGAGCAAATCCTACACATTCATTCAACAAACTTTGACAAAAAATGAAGATATCAAGACAAAATGTACATGTTTACGCCTGTAAATATCATATTTTGAACAATATCTCAAAATTAACATCACAACCCGATTTTTTTCTTTCATTATTCTAAACTTCGCGATACTTCCAGTAAATCAGCACTTATGTCATAAAAAGCGTGATACAAAGAGGTTTTTTTTTTTTTTTTTCTTTTTTTTTTTTCTTTTTTTGCCTATTTATATTATTAACACCCCAAATTTGAAATTTTTCAGTGCAAACAGGTCACACAATAATTTACTCGCATTAATTTGTAGGATGTTTTTAATGTTAAGTCTTATTCAAATTATTTTACATAAAATAAGTTTATATTTATTGCCATGATTACATCTAGTAAAATATGATAAAGGTTACAGTGATTAACCTAAAAGTAACAATTTAAGTGCAGAAAGGTCACGTTAATTGCACTGTTGCCTTGTAAGATGCACACTGACCCCAATTTTCCCTGCTGTTTTGGGTCTTGCTACCTGTATATTAGTAGTATATCTAAAATAAAAAAAAAAATATGTCAGGAGTGACATACCTTACATGTAATTATTGATTCCAAGTGCATGTAATTTAAAATCTAAAAGATACTATATTTGATAAAATAAACATCCAGTAAATATTCCGACTTCTTAGGTATTAATACTGCATCTGAAAATTTAGGCAAGTAAGACATTGACGTTTGCCAATTGATTACCACACAAAATCATTCAAATTTGCTTTCTCCTTTATGTCGGAAATACATTGCAAATAATAAAAAAAACGATGGAGAAAAACTTCTCAGACCTTTTCTAAACACTCAAACTGATGTTGGTTCATTTCTGTATTGTAATTACATGTGTTTTATCTTTCTTATAGGATTACTAGCTAGAATAAATCTAGCCATCTTTGATAAAATCAAAAGAAATAACACCGAGAATATTGAATACCAGGTAAATATTTCTAGCTCCAAAGAACCTTAAATAGCATTTTTGATTCATATATGGTAATTTTTTTAATGATATATTTTTCTATCATCACTAAAAGGTTTCATTTCCGAGGTTTATCATTTTGATTAGTACATTGTTTATATATATATATATATATATATATATATATATATATATATATATATATATATATATATATATATATATATATATATATATATATATATATATATATATATATATATATATATATATATATATATATATATATATATATATATATTATTTGTATTATCAGTATTGTATTATTAGTACATTGTTTATATATATAAACATTATTTTTGAAATATTTAGGTGTCATTTAGCATGATGGAAATATACAATGAGAATGCATATGATTTATTAGTGAAGGGAGATCAGAGACCCAGACTTAGGATAGTGGATAATAAAGGTAAGCTTCATAGGATATGTACTTCCAGTGTCTCTTTAAGTAAACTGATAGTAAGAAATTCCTTTTTATTACAGTAATATTATTTGTCAGTTTGACATCTTCTCTCTCTCTCTCTCTCTCTCTCTCTCTCTCTCTCTCTCTCTATAAATATATATATATATATAGAGAGAGAGAGAGAGAATTTCAACAGGACATTATATTTCAAGACTTATTGATCAGAATGAAGACCCACTCCGACATTATCAGAAAGTTCTTGTTTACGAATTTGGTAAATGAGTGTATACCTCATCCATAGGTATTGTCAAAACGATTCATGGCTACCGTCAAAAAAGATAAAACATGAAAACTGATGATAAGGAACTTCAAAAGCGAGAACTCTTTTGATATCTATGGTCCTAGAGAAAGAAAAATTTAAATCCAAAATAAGCCGGTAAAGTTCGAATACAACATAAAGAGCGTATTTGAAATATCTATTCATTTAGATAAACAAATCCATTTGTCTGTTGCTTTGCGAATAGTTCTTGACCTTTATTGCTGAATATTTGCTTACTTTATATTTTGTAAACATATTTATTCTCTTCAACAAATTAAAAAATAAATCATTTTTCAGAAGTCCTAAATGTGGTTCATGTAGCAATGTTTAACTAATTTGCTATATACTTCCTTCACAACTCTAAATATGAAACTTTAATTTATTGGCTGAAATGAAAGAAAATTCTGATTTAAAAGATGTTTGTCGAAATTTGCATATGGTATTGGAAATATGGGAAAACAGAGACTCAGTATTATTTATAATTATTATCTTGAAATTTAAACTGAATAGATTGGAAATACCTGGCTTTAACAGGCCATACATTTGTGTCTATGAAATCTATTTTTAACATTAATGGTACAGCTGTAACCTTCAGATCACAAAAAATATATTTACACCTTGGAGTTTTTAAAATAAACGAAATGCAATGTTTTGTGTGTAGATATGGAATACAATTTATTAATGAAAAAGGAATTTTTCGATATTTTCACGAGTGTGAAATATCAAAAAATCTTGTCTTTCAATTGCAATGAATTCTTCATCAATAATAAAACTGAATTTCATATCTATTGCATTTTTATAGAGTTTCCCGTTGCTCCTTTTGCCTTTAACACTTTCACTGCCAAGTATTTCTAATAGCAAATGTTAAAGTTTCTCAAATGCAAGTCAAAATCCAGGCGAAAAGATAAAAATTGTTGGTACCCAAAGAGAGGTCTTGTCTCGAGGAATATACCTGTGAAATTTGAAAGCCCTACAGGGTTTTCCATCGTTTGAAATTTTACTGTGTTGCAGACTTTACGTAAACTACTAATATTCGTGGCATTTTCGCGATCAAATTCGCAACTGAACCACTATTCATTATGATTACAAAAGCATATACACTCAATTTTTTGAATCACTTATTCGTTACACAAATTGTATGGTCATGCATATTAATAAAAAAAAAGATTAATGGATATTTGAAATAATTAGAATGTATCCATATCATAATGTACATACAATGTACTACATGTATAAGACAAATCAACTGTAAATCCCCCCCCCCCCCCTTACACACACCTTAAAAATATAAGTATGATTTAAAAAAAAAAATATAATGTACTTGTATCACTATCTACAAGTTGTACGTATATATTAAACCTTGATATTTTTGTGTATATAACTTTATGATTTACACGTGTTCTGAAGAGCAGAGGAAATTCTGGTCGATACAATCGATCTACAGTAAATTTGTCGTGGTTTTTGGCAGTTGATCGAATTAAAGAATTAAAAAAAACAAACAAAAAGGAACTTCTATAAAAGTAAAATACTTTTAGGGGGTGCCTTTGAATTCTTCAACAATACATTTACATCAATGAAATGATCAAATGATTACGGTACGATGTTTGACTCACAGTGCCAACATGATTCTAGAGACGTGGTTCTGAAGTATAAAGACATATATTTATAATAAATTTTGAAATTTTGAAATAAGTGAAAAATGCAGCTAGCAATTATACGGTCACATGGAAGCGTGAAAACAAATTATCTGTCTTTCTTCCTTCATGCGTAAAGTCCAGCAAAGGCATGGAGATAATTGATTCATGCAAGGTGAAGCAAGACAAAGTGCCCTAATTAGGAGATAATTATATAAGTGCTATGCCTTAAAAATTGAAAGACGGTAGATTTGTTTGATTAAAGTTTCAGTTAGAGAGAATTTATGTTCTGATTTTCTGGTTATCACAGATCTTACTGTGTTGCAAAATTTTTACTGTGTCGCACGCATAAAGTTTGAATCGTTAATGTGTCGGAAAAAATTTTACTGTGTCGGGGCCGACACAGTAAAACAGCTCATGGAGAACCCTGCCCTAGCTGCAACTGTTCAAAGTTATGGCGAAGGTTAAAGTCTTTTAAAAGTAAGTAAAACGTCATGGTCAAGGTCAAAGTTGTTGGTATCCAAAAGGAAGGTGATGTCACAAGGATTACATATGTGAAAAATGAAAGCCCTAGCACCAACCATTCAAAAGTTATGACCAAGGTTAAAGTTGGTCAAAATGACCAAGGTTAAAGTAGGTCAAACTCCTATGTCAAGGTCAAGAGGTCAAAGTGGTTGGTATCCAAAGGAAGATCTTTTCACAAGGATTACATATGTGAAGTATGGAAGCCATAGAACCAAACATTCAAAAGCTATGGCCAAGGTAAAAAAAAAATTCAAAAGTAGGTCAAACTCTTAGGTCAAGGTCAAAGGGTCAAAGTCGTTGGTATCGGAAGGAAAATGATGTCACAAGGATTACATATGAGAAGTATGAAAGCCCTAGCATCAACCGTTCAAAAGTTATGGCCAAGGTTAAAGTTTTTCAAAAGTAGGTCAAACTCCTAGGTCAAGGTCAAAAGGTCAAAGTGGTTGGTATCCCAGAAAAGCAAAAAAGGTCTTGTCACACGGATTACTTATGTGAAGTATGAAAGCCCTAGCTCCAACCATTCAAAAGTTATGGCCAATGTTATAGTTTTTCAAAAGTAGGTCAAACTACTAGGTCAAGGTCAAAGGGTCAAAGAGGTTGATTTTCTGAGGAAGGTCTTGTCACAAGGAATACACATGTGAAGTTTAACAACCCAAACGCCAATTGTTCAAAAGTTATGGCCAAGGTTAAAGTTTTTTTTTCAAAAGTAGGTCATACTCCAAGGTCAAGGTCAGAAGGTCAAAGTTGTTGGTATTCAAAGAAAAACCTTGTTACAAAGAATACACATGTGAAGTTTGAAACCCCAAGCACCAACTTGTCAGAAGTTATGGTCAAGGTTATAGTCTCATAAAATTTTGCAAAAGTGTGTCAAATTCCAAGGTCAAGATCAAAAGGTCAAATATGATGGCACCCAAAGAAAGGTCTTGTCACAAGGAATACACATATGAAATATGAAAGTCATAGCTCCAATCAATCAAAATTTATGGGCAAGGTTAAAGTTGACAATAAACAGACAAACAGAAAAACAGACAAACAGACAGACAGGACAAAAACAATATATCTCCGGGATCTTCGATCCGGGGGCATAAAAATATCAGCCCACCTCTTAAATTGTGTAACTGGCAATAACTGGCAATATTGATAATGAAAAAGTAAATATCTTGACACAAAAATAAACAGTAACCTACCATTGATTCATTTTTTTCAAATTGTTTGCTTGATATATACTGTAAACAAGTTTCATTCTTGAAAAAGACCCAAGCACCAACTTGTCAGAAGTTATGGTCAAGGTTATAGTTTCATAAAATTTTGCAAAAGTGTGTCAAATTCCAAGGTCAAGATCAAAAGGTCAAATATGATGGCACCCAAAGAAAGGTCTTGTCACAAGGAATACACATGTGAAATATGAAAGTCATAGCTCCAATCAATCAAAATTTATGGGCAAGGTTAAAGTTGACAATAAACAGACAAACAGAAAAACAGACAAACAGACAGACAGGACAAAAACAATATATCTCCGGGATCTTCGATCCGGGGGCATAAAAATATCAGCCCACCTCTTAAATTGTGTAACTGGCAATAACTGGCAATATTGATAATGAAAAAGTAAATATCTTGACACAAAAATAAACAGTAACCTACCATTGATTCATTTTTTTCAAATTGTTTGCTTGATATATACTGTAAACAAGTTTCATTCTTGAAAAAGACCGAAGTTAAAAAAAAGTACATATATCTGGTGGTTTAATTTTAGCAACAAACACAGCAACAAAAGAAAATTTTTAAAGTTTGCTGCAAAAAGTTTGACGATTGATATGTGTTCACTTATCTGGACAAAATTTCTCACAAACATATTATTTTGGATTAAAATTACAACGTCATATTTTTTTTTCCTGAAAAAGCTGTCAATCTCAAACTTGTTCCTGTTGCAAACCCAGAGGAGTTGGACGGTCATTTACATATTGGCTACAAAAAAAGGTCCATTGCAACCACAAAAATGAATCAACAGAGTAGCAGAGCACACACGATCGTCACAATATACGTTAAAAAATTTGATGCAGCAGAAAAGACTCAACTCTCATCTCAAATTAATGTTGTTGATTTGGCTGGAAGGTAATGTATCATGCTCTTCTAAACTCAGATATATTTGTACACCAAAGATTTGATGTTTGTTTGTTTGTTTGTTTGTTTTGTTTTGTTTTTTGTTTTTGTTTTTGTTTTGTTTTTTTTTTTTGTTTGTTTTTTTTTGTTTTTTTTTTTTTGCTGTGATAAAAAAAAATTAATATCTGTATTTGTATGTAAATGATATACTGATGAACGTCAAGATCTTTGACCTACATTAAAGAAAAACATTTGTTAGAATCCTTGTATTCTTGGGCTAATTGGGTTTAATAATAATCGAGCAAGAGTTTTTTTTTCACTGTTCTCCTTTCAAACTTTATGCTTTCTAGTTCCCCTTTCTACGAATTTCAGAAGTGCGTTTGGAAATTTTTTTGACCTTTTTGACAAAAAATTAAAATTCATTGTGCTGCATAATTATCTACCTGGAGTAGAGACATTAGATCAACTATAATTTCTCGAAACTCTAAGCAATGATTTTGTGTTTGATCTTCGTGTGAAAAAAATTCTCAATGTCCATCAATTAAATAATCTATAAATATGCTATCATTCAATTTCATTCTGTAACTAATATTTTTTTTTTTTTATTTTATGTGCTTCATTTAATGAGAAAAAGATGCACATGCAAATGAAAGTAACGCGAGAATTTTTTTTATTTTTATTTTCTTTTCATTTTTTTTTTGGGGGGGGGGGGGATTTAAGCAACAAATAGGTCAAAGAAAAGATCAAATGAAAATTTATTTCGTTTTCTATATGCATATTGCAAATGCATCCATATAATTTAAAATGATTGTATTTGGAAGGTCAAATTTACACAATAGTTTTGAGTATCTGTTAATCATATTGATAATTAAAGGATACGATTTACGTTTTCTATATAGATGTTTCACATTTTCTTTCTTTACTAAGAGTAACTTAAAATTGACAAATTGCATGAAGTATTTAGGAAAAAAGATTTACAAAATTGGCAAAATTGTAAGGAGAATTTATACGATTAAGATTAGCCTACATTTGATAGTGTGTGTACGAATTTTGCCAAAAGCATACTATATGCGCCAAAATATTTTCTTAATTAATGAATTATAATAATAAATACATGATATAGCGAGAGAGCTGCCAAGTCTGGCACAGGAGGAACACAACTTGTTGAAGGTGGAAAAATCAACACATCGCTTCTAGTGCTCGGGAAAGTTATTAGAAGTAAGTATCTTTCTTATAAAGAAAATATTTATTGCCGTAATATTTCGTCCAGCAATTACTATAATCTTGTTTGATTTTTTATGAAGGCTTCGCCGAAAAAACTAAGAAAATCCCAGGTAAGTATAACCATTTCTTTAAATAGACTTGAAAAAACGCACCAGTATAAATTCTTCCTATGAATTTCATCTTTGGTTCAGAATCAGTGTTCAGATGAATGTTTGCAGGATATCTTATATGTTTTATTCTACAATTTGATAATTTGATAAAACAATTCATTTTCTAATTATGGATACCTTTTTTTTATAAATTAAGAAAAAATAAATATCAATCAAATGTATATAAATATATTATCCATATAAAAGAGCAGTGCATAAGCAAAAGAGTTAAGGTTTTAGTAACGGTATGTCACTCGACAGTTTCTGAAAAAAAAGTTTGGTCAGACCCTCTAACTTCAAAACTGCTCATTACAATTCAGTTTTAGTTTGTTTGTTTTTTTCTTCTTTTTTTTTTTTTAACCTTTTTTAAGTTTAACGATGCAAATTGTACAATATTCAATTTAAAAGCTGCTCACAAAATCGAGGAAAAAAAACAAACAATAATTTTTGGGGTGACTGTTTCTAAATGTGGAAGGACAGTTAGAAGATTTTTTTTCAATTCTACACAATTGTTTAATTTAATATCTTGGATCTTTAGCCCTACTCAGAGAATAGGTTTTTTGCCATTATGTGCTGGGAATTTAAATATTGGTTTTAACTAATATTTTAGAACAAATTTTACATATTCACTCAACACACTATACAAAAAATTATCTGTATTTGAGTAAAGATAAAATCTACATTATTTTCATTTTTGCCTGAAGTTTGTATATTTTTATGTATATATATTAATGTGTATCACTAGCCCTTTTTTCTTTCATTATCTAAAACTTAACGACACTTTCAATCGAACAGCACTTATGTCATACAAAGCTTGATACATGAAAATATTTAATTGCCTGTTTGCATTCTTACGTGAAAAACCCCAAATCTACGATTTTTTAAATTGCAAAAAGGTCACAAAATAATGTACGCACATTAATTTGCAGGATTTTTTTATTTTTGATAATAGATATTATTCAAACTATTTTACGTAAAATTAGATTATATTTGTACGTATGTACAATTTCTAAAACGAAGTAAATTATTGACAAACAAGTTGATGAAACAAGAGTATCAGCTGTCTCGTTTAAAGTCATCATTTCGTAAGTTTTATGGTCGATACAATGACCTTGTCAGCAAATACAGTTTATCATTGAGTCAAATGCTGACTGACGTTTTTCATACTAATTGTTAGGCCATTATTTACACACTGAATTGTCGACGGATTTTTCCGTTATTTCTCGATCATGACAAGGAGCACACGGCGGGTGTGACTGATCGGCAGGGGATGCTCACTCCTCCATGACACCTGATCCCACCTCTGATGTTTGGAGGTCCGTGTTTGCTCTGTTCCTATTTTGTATTGTTTGATGGACTTTTGAGCCTGAATACTGTTCGCTATCTCCATATATTTCATATAAAAAAAGGTTAATTTCAAAGTTACTATTTAAGTGCAAAAATGTCAAGTTAATCGTACCGTTGCTCAGTAAGAGGCAGAGTTATCTCGATTTTCTTTGTGTTTTTGAGTCATGCAATTTGAGTAGTTATCTGAAATATTCTTCTATAAGAATCTTTGATATAACTCAGGTCAGAAGTGACATACCTTAAAGCGAAAATACACATTTCGTTTAAAAAAAACATACACTTTGGGGCTATTGGACCCCATTACAATGGAACTGAAATTGCTAACCTTATTGTACATATAAATAGCATAATCAATCATATTTAAGAGAGTTTAATGCTTAATTGAAATTGTAGACATGGAATATGATTTAACTTGGAGCATTAAAGAAAAACTTTTAAATTTTTGATAATGCATAATAGTATTATATAAATTTGAGCGTCTTCTTTCTTATAGTAAGTCACAGAGAATCAAAACTCACTTTGTTACTAAAAGATTCCATAGGAGGAAATAGCAAAACCGTTATGGTAAGAAAACATTAAAGTACATATATATATATATATATATATATATATATATATATATATATATATATATATATATATATATATATATATATATATATATATATATATATATATATATATATATATATATATATATATATATATATATACTGTAGATATATATATATCATATATCTAAAGCTTAATAGCATAATATTTATAATTTGATAACTAGTTAATTTATATAACAATCAAGGTGGAATTTTCGAATTTGCTAAAATTAACATTTCAATTTACTTTCTTTAACTAATATATGATAAACCCTGCAATTGGGCTAAACAATTTGACTAAAAAAAATAACATTCTATTTGTGTTATAAGAGGGGTGATCAAAAAGTTCGCAAACTATCTCTATATTTACAAAACTTCGATTCAGATCAAAATGAAATTTGGCGCATATATAGTCATACACATGTTTTTATAATTATAAATAGCAGATGTCATGTTAAGTTTTTCTCCATGTTATGTGATGTCACAATGTGAAAAATACATCAATATGTAGATGACCTGTGACAAAATATGATTAACTCGGTCGAACTTCAGGAAAGAACGGCTGTAAAGTTTATCTCATATCTTGAAAATTCCATTGCAGTAGCATATAATAATTTGTGCAACGTTTATGAAGACAAAAGTCTTGCCAGAAGCTCAATCATTTTAAAATCTTATTGATTCTTTTAGTGAAAGAAGGGAGATAATTAAAAATGATTTTTGTTCTTTTGCCCAGTGAAAGCGAGCTGGGGAAGATATGTGTTCTTACTTGAGCAATTTGTTATGAAAAATCGCCAAGTTTCAGTTAGGAAAAAAGTGGAATATCCTAAATAATATAATTATTGAATTCCTAAAATATCGTTTACTTTAGACTTTAAACATATCAGATATGATAAAAAGAAGGCGTCCATACTCCATCCAAATTGAATAAACGACGCTCCGAAGACAGAGGACTCGGGTCGTGATGGTCACCATGGTCATTCCTATCCATCCATTATATTGCCGAGATTTCGCCATTTCCGACATAGGGACTGTTCTAGTTATAAGAAAAATTAACTTGCATGGTAAGAAATATAAGGCTAAAAAAAATAGCTTTTGTGAACAGAACGCTAACGAGCATGTTACGTAACCGCCTAGATCACGTGATTCTCGCATGGCAGAACAATGGCAGATGTACATTAAAATCGGGGAAGACTAATTTAAAAATGATGAACACTGAAATCTAATTTTATTTCAGATGTGAAAGTAATCAATGAGTTTGCGAACTTTTTGATCACATCTCGTAATCTTGCATGTTGAACAAAATTTATATGTTAGTTATTTGATAAAATGCTATATAGTGGGGAACGATTGTCCAGTTATATAGTGTTAATGAGTAAAAAACTGCAAATGCAATTTTTTCATGTCACGGCATAGTTGATTAAAACAATGAATTTAATATGCTTTCAATTTATTCATAATTATATGAGATATATTTGTTTTAAAGTTGGCTACTGTCAGTCCATCGTTGTCTAATCGTCAAGAAACAAGGAGTACCCTTAGTTTTGGTAAGCATTGACGTTCAAATAGAGAATTATAAGTTAAACATCAGACAGCGAATATTTTCTTAAACGTTGGAAATTTAAGTATACTAACTAAGATTATCTTGTACCTTTTCATATCATAGCTTATCCTGGAGAATAAAACCGACGAAATGTTCTTTAAAAATATCTAGTATCTTAATCTTAAATGGAAGGCTCCTGAAATTAATGATCGAAATATGCTAATTTAAACAATATTTAAATTCTAAAACGGAATGTGATCTGACAGCATGCATAGCCTATTAAAACTCTCTCCTTAACAATATTATTGGAAACTCCTTTTAACTTTTTGCTTTATATATTGCAACAAAGGATGAAATTACAACCATTCAGTCGACTGAATGGCATATACGTACATTTCAGTTGCACTTTAGTTATCTTTCAGTTACATTTTTTTTAAATTTATAATCTGCTTATTTTTTACCTTAGCAATTCTTGTTTACGTTTTCCTTTCATAATGATATCAAGTTATCTAAAATGGAATAACTATAACGAGAAATTACTATAATTAACTATAGTAAATACTTTGATACTTTGATTTACTATGAAACTTACTCTAGAACTTTTTTTTTCATATTTTAAAGCTAAAAATCTCTTAAATTTAACATCCATTATGTTCATTTTGTAAATAATTTGAGAAAAATTTCCATATAAAATAAAAAACGCATGTATGAATTAGAGAACATAAAATATAGCAATCTGAAACCCATAGTAAAAATATTTTGATGTACTGTAGAAAAAAAACGATTTATTTAAATGAAAACTTTGATACTATAGTAAACTATAACTAGATGCTGTCATGAGACAGTAATACCCGCACTAATGTGTTTGCCTCTAAATGCGGGCACGTAGCATGGGGGGGGGGGGGGCAGAGGGGGCCTGCCCCCCTTTTTTCGAAACATAACTTTTTACTATTGAAAATGTTCATGAACGGGTGGTCCCCCCCCCCCCCACACACTTTTTTTGCATTATAGTCATATAAAGGTAATGTATATATAAAATTGGAGTACTAAAAGAAGTTGGAATCCACCCCCACACCTACCCCCCACCCACTCCACGAAATAGGATTTTTGAGTTTTGAAAAAAAAAAATTTTTGGCTTGTCAATTTTTTTCAGGTAAGTTGAATTTTTTTTTTCTCTGGCTACCCCCCCCCCCACCCTTCCACTTTCAAAAACGTTGCTACGTCCATGAAATGTTCTCTGATTGCTCTCCTTCAAATTCTGGTAACCAGTTAAGAAGCACACATGTAAATCAAGCATAAAATGCTCAGGTGAACATGCAGCCCATATGGGCCTCTTATGTAAATCAGGTGCGAATCCAGGAATTTTTTCCAGGGGGATCCAACCCAGAAATTTCTTGACAAGCAAAAAAAAAAATTTCTATTTCATGGTGGTGGTGGTGGGGGGGGGGGGGGGGGGGGTGGGTTGGCCGCTCACTTTTTTAAGCTTCATATGTATAACTTTTCAACTTAACAGGGGTCCGTGTTTTCTAAGGGGGGGGGGGGTTCCAAAGTCACTTTTAGTTGCTTTCGTATAGATTTCGTGTATAGGTTTCGGACTCCCCCCCCCCTTCTAGATCCGCGCATGTAAATATTTCATTACCAGTCTGATATTACCTAATGATGTAAATTCTGAAAAAAAGAGAATTTTTGAAAGATTTCTGTAAAAAAAAAATGGGGGGGGGGGGTTAATTTTCTACTCATAATTGGAACTTGAATTTATTGTCAAAACAACAAATATTATTATTTAAGTGCATAGCTTTTTTAATGAACTTAAAAAAAAATAGATGCCAACTTGTGCAAATTTTTATCAGTATTTGGGTAGAACTCGAACCTCTTTCCAAATCTTGACCCAATCAACTTTGTCAAAAATCAACCCCACCCACGATTCACCCGTTTTCCTGTCATATTTAGAATAGATAACACAAACTTATGAGAGAAAAAAATTGTAAGTTATTATAATATAAATTTTACAAATGTACACCTTTTTGGAAAATTTCTAGACTCGTGCGTGGAATTACGTCACTCTACGAGCACTACTTTTACCGTTATCATTATTGTTTTGCACACGGTGTATGTACATCATTACATATATTACCACTGGGATTAATATTTAGTGTGTGTTTTAAATGGATTTATTATTCTATCAAGTTAACAGTACCTATAACAGGCGGTAAGTACATTATGAATATATTATTTTAAACGTTCAGTATAGAACGGGGTTTGTTTGTTGTTTAACGTCCTTCTCGAGAATTTTTCACTCATATGGAGACGCCACCACTTGGCGGTGGAGGGCTGCAAATTTTAACCTATGGTTTACACTTAGGGCCATTGGGCAGTGAGGGATCTTTTTTCGTGCCAACAACTACTGCAACTCGGGACCTCGGTTTATGAATACAGTCTCATCCAAAGAACTGGTCTCCACGTCCCGCAGTGGATTCGAACCCGCGACTTAAGGATCAACTCCTTACTCCACGACTCTAGAGCAGGCGTTCTAACCACTGCGCCACACTGGCGACTAGAACGGGGTAAAATAATCGGAAATGAAAATGGTTAGGGGCCTATAGTTGGAAAAGGGTCAAAGGTCATTGGAATGCCACAATTATACAAATTATACAATGAGGCAAGTCCCTGGGGTCATTCCACTCGATCTTTGGAACCGGAAACAATGTTTCTAACCTGATTTCTGGTCCGATTACCCTCTCAATTGCCGTACTAGACGCTTAAATCCAACGTTAACGACATCTCGAAAAGAATCAGTCGCCATGAGGGTCTGCGAGGGTCTGCGTGATGTCACACCGTTCGTTCCTGAAGCATTTCGAGTTGATTTTTTAAGAAAGTTATTTAAAGAATATATTTAACGTATAATCTATGAAATTTTACGTCTGCTATTTTTTTTAAAGTAATACGTGAGTGATTATTGATGTTTAAATGAACGTTAAAGTTTATTTGACTTAAAACACCTTTTCAAAATAAAGAGAGATAATTTCAAGGTTTAATGTCGTGTTGAACTTTTTTGTCATTTAAAAGCTTTTTCCCACTAATCAATAATTTTACTTTTTAAACAAAATTGCAAAATTTAATAGATTAGACGTTATAAATAATTTATATATAAAATCCAACACGAAATGCTTCAGGAGCGAAAGGCGTGACATCACGCAGACCCTCATGGCGACTGATTCTTTTCGAGATATCGTTAACGTTGGATTTAAGCGTCTAGTACGGCAATTGAGAGGGTAATCGGACCAGAAATCAGGTTAGAAACATCAACTGACATGAATTATACCGCGTGTTGTTGCTAGTTTTATTAAATAAAGCGCCAGGGCAGAATTCGCCAAAAACGCGTTGCATTCCTGTCGCTTCGAATTCGCTCGCTACGCTCGCGAAGCTCACTGGTTGTTGTTTACGTTGTTTTATGGATAAAACTGCCGACTCCTTCGTTATAACACACTAAATAGGATGGGTCATTACCCCCCAGAGGTCATTCCCAACCCCTAAAACTTTAAATGATCATATACATTGTATCTTGAAAATGGTTGAAAACTCTCCCCTTAACCATATATAATATTGTCCCTTGAGGCATTATGCATTAAATGGTATAAAGGTTATGACCCCTTGAAGTCATCATCATCCTGAAACTGGAAATGATCATAATATGACCTGCGTCAAAAGTGTGTTAGTGTTAGTGATAATCTGCTTGACATTTTATTCAGAACCCCCTAGGGTCATTCCACCCTCCTAGAATTAGAAAATGAAAATCATTCAAGATCTGCCATTATACTTTGTGTACATGTACATTTTTGTATTATTCACAATTTATTTTATACCAAAACAAGTTATAAATAATTTGTATAATTAAATGAGCCTGTGGCTGGGAGGGGGAAAAGGGGAAGGAGTTATGTCTGCATGGTCTTAAATGTTGAAAACTCCTAAAATTTGTGAATATTAACCCAGCCATTTCCCACTTGTCATCATTATTTACTGATCTTCTCACAACATACATGTCTGTGTCTTTATTAAATCAATAGATCATGGACTTTTTTGGTCATATGCCTAGCTCTCCCTTGAATCAGGAATGGTGATATGAATATTTTAAGAATGATTAAGAATTAAAACAGGTCTGGCACAATCTCTTAAAATTGATTAAGCTCTGTAGTTGAATTAGCTATACTGGTATAGCTTGGTTTTACTATTCAAAACACTTTGATTTAGCTATTTAATCATATTTTTTTTTACTGTACATTTTTATCAATATAGATAAAAGTTGCACTATGTTGACATGGGTATAAATTTTAAATTTTCAGCTTTGAGTTTTCTGAAAACAATGCATGGAGGAAAATTGCTTTTCAAAAATTGCCTCCTGAGAATTTGCTATCACAGATATATATTTTGCATGGGGCTATATACCTGGAGTAATCTCTCTCTCTCTCTCTCTATCTCTCTCCCTAACATCTGTGTGAGTCAAAATTAAAGTGGAATTATAAGACAATTTTTTTTTAATTGATGACTTTTTAGGATTTTACACTAATTCATACTGCAGCAAGAATGTTATCCCTCCCAGAAAAAAATAAGTTAACTCACTTATCTTGTCTTTGATCTATTGATCTATAATTACAAAAGGACACAGCCAGAAGTCTTTTAACGTTGTTTGTTACAAATTTCACTTGGAACTCCTATTAATTTGCTCAAGATCAGTATTTTCAGTAGGCAGAAATGAACTTGTCAATGATCAATTATGCTGGAAAAGTACTCACTGTGAACAATCACCTGACTTGTTGAAGACAGGTATACATACCCCTCAGGGTATAATTATCATACAAAGGCCTGTACAAAATTGAAGACATAATTAAATCATCATTATCTTAGTTAAGATATGAAGAAACACACTAGAGGTGTGATGAAATATTTAGAATCACAAAGAGTTTTATTTCTCATGCAAAATATTCTTTCTTGTGTAAAACATAACAA